GGGGGGGGAGGGTAGGGGTGTGGTGTGAGGGGAAAGGAAAAATAGAAATAATAAATCTTTGCCTTTTCATCTTTCCTGCCTTCTGCTGTTAAAACAAACAAACAAACAAACAACCTTTTAAATCTGCCAAATCAGGTGTGCACTGCAGAATGACTACAAAACAAACAGTTTAAATGAATATAATGGTCAAAAAGTTTATTTCAATAAGTGACCACTTATCCTGTGTAAAACATGGACAAACACATTCTGATATCATCCTGTATAAAAAAAAAAATCAAATGTCCATTTATCAACCAAGTATGTCTCACTCAGCTATTACCAATACTTCTACAACATGCACATTTAAGAAGACACAGCTACCAATATAAATACTATGTACAGCCACAACAGAGCTGGGTTACTGTCTTCAAGGATTCACCAGAGAAGCAGTAGTTGTCCCTAAGTTGCTTCAAGCATCCAAAATTAAGACTTCATTTTAATAGCACTATTACTATCATTGATCAGGAAATATGAGCAGGTTTACCTTCTTCCTCACTGTCACTTTCAAGGAATCGAGCATCCATGCGAAATCTTTCATCTGTGCCAAATCGTGATTGCAAATGCAACAGCTAAAATAATGAGATGGATCTTATTAAGCACTGGAGAAGAAAATCATCAACATCCAGTAACATATTTTAACTACGGTTATGGCAACATACTGGTAACCTTTAGCTCTCGATGCCTCTTCCAGAAAGTTTGTTGTATTTAAAGATGACAGCATCAGAGACACTCCTCCTGCTCCCCAACACACATTATTTCCTTCATAGCTACCATTTCCTCTGAGGGAATTCTATTGCAGGATTGTCAGAATTGTATCCAGCGAGCACACAAACCTACACCTTATGGTCTTCTGAGTCTCCATAACACCACCTCAGAAAAAACAGAATTACATTAATGGGTTCACTCACTTTTTCACCAGCTTTGCCTTCAAACTGGGGCTTGATTTTAAATCTCTCATCATCTGTATCGTCTTGCTCATCCTCACTGCTTTCAAATAGTCTGCTCGAAGTTTTAGGGGCAGATTCATCCTTTGATAAAAAAAAAGAAAATACAGAAAAGTAGCTGTTAACGTACGTTTGAGAACATAAATCAGTATCAACGTTGTTCATGTGCTTTCCAGTTTATCTGAAAAAGTGGATTTCTAGAACAACCAGCTGACTTATTGATCCATGCACTTCAAATCTTACATTATATACACAACTTGTACAATACCTTTTTTTTGTGCAGTTATGACTTCAATTTTTAGCATAGACAAAATATCCATGTAAAAGGGAAACTCAGGTTTTAAAATGAGAGAATTAGGTAAAAAAATCCAACGTGCTGATTATGGCAAGGGAGACCAATTTAAAAAAAAAAAAAAAAGAAATCAAAGTCTAATTCTACCCTTTCTGAAGAAGCCTCATTTATGGTATAAATTCTAGGATATTGTTTAAGTCAGTTGATAAATATCAATGATTTGATAGAATTTTCGACACAATTAGATCTTAAAAAAAAAAAGGGAAATAGAGGGCAAAGATTCTAAATACAGGGTAAGAGATATATGTGTAAAAAATGTGCTAAATGTTAGGAAGAGTGAGAAAAGGAGGTTTTAATTAAATAGGGAGAACGGTCCTAATCTTACTACACTTATGAAGAAAAAAAACCCCAACCAAACAACAAAAGCAAACCCAATGGTTCAAAGCTTTAGCAGAGATGTGACTAAAAAATATGATGACAGAAGTAGTTTTATTCCAGAAAAGGGTACTCAGTTGCGCTGAAAGTAAAGCGATAAAATACCGAGGAGTTTGCTAAATAAGGTCTCCATTAGGTACACAACCTCTTTGGACTGTAACATCACCTTAAAAATGAGACACTGCATGAATACAGATTTTTTGGCCACAGTGTTGGAAACAGGAGAGTCCTTCTGTACTACTCAAGCCAAACCTCCTCCCCGTCCTTTGACGCAATGCAGCAGCATTTCTAAGCTAATTAAGCCCTACAATTTACATATTCTTTTTCTTTTAATCCAACTTAGAATACCTTTCACACAAATGACAATCTCGTCATTTGAAATTCCCCAAGCTCTCTGGCTTTACTGGGAGCATGTTAAAGTTCTTTGAAAGATGTTTCATGTTGACAAAAAAAAAGAAGAATCATTCATATTAATTCAAACTTTATCTACTTTTTTTCTGTCAGTTCACTGTGGAAGAAGTTTTCAGAATAAAGGCACAGTCATACTGATATGGAATTACCTTACAGAATCTTGCACATCTTCCTATAACACTTACTTCTTCACGCATATTTCCCAAACTTGCATCCTTCTTCAATATCTCATCTCCTTCAGCTTCACTTTCCACGTCTGAATTGAACAGGATGTGTTTATGCTTGCCCGCTGGCTGGCTGTCCTGTGTAAGGGTGAAACGGTCAAGTCAAACATATCCAACGCTTGCTGCAGTCAGACAGAAGTATCCAAGACACTTCCATGATACAAAAGGAGGAATCTACTATTCCTCTTGCAACTCTAGATACATTCCAGGAATTAGGTATGCACCATTTCGTACACACTCGAAAGCTGCCAATGTCATCAGAAACACCAGAATGCGAATTTAAAATATCTTAAACCACATTATTGATTTTTCTTTTACTGCATGCTATTCAGACAGAAGTTGTGAGTGTAATTACCAGATTTGAAAGAGCTCCCTGAATGTGTTTCTTCTGCAATTCTCTCTCTTTCTGTCTCTCTTCTAGAGCTGCCAGCCTCCTCTGGTTATCCTGCAACTGTTTTTTTTTTGTACTAGGTTCCTTTGAAGCAGCAGCATGATGACAAAGCTCCTTATTTTCCAGAAGGCTCATCTTCCCACTCTCACATTTATTAGCTTCGCGTTCTGGATTTTTATTGCTTACATCCCTCTTCAGTTTTTTTGAAAGCAGTTTTGGGCTTTTCAGTTGTCGTTTAGCATGTTTCTGCATCACTGCTGCATTACTATCCACGCCGCTGCTCTCATCTTCACTCTGGTCGGTACTAGGAGCAGCATCTCCATGCTCTGAGTGTTGGTCATCTTGCAAAGAGCTCACATTCTTGTTCTTTCCATGCAAACATGGCTTGGAAAGAGGCTGATTTCCCTCACCTGCTAAGGAGGCAGCATCCGACAACTCCTTGTGCTGTTCACTACGTGTATTTTGTCTCATTTTACTGCTGACTTGACGCGAATACAATGGATGGCTCTTAGCCTGTCTTTTAGGTGTCTCCTCCCCACAATAAGAAATGGAAGCTTCAAGCTCTAAACTTTCTCCAGACCTCTTTTTCAAACCAGCCCTGTCCTCAGTTAACTCTTTTTTGCAAAGGGACCCTATTCCTCTAAATGGCTGGTATTTCAAATGCGAATTGTTTTGTTCCTTACAGCCTTCTTCATCAGCATCCTCCTCCCCTGCTAAAATCGCAGCAAGAACATCTTGAGGACAGATACATTTTTTTTTAACTGCAGGGTGAAATTTAGGAAGTTTTGTTTTATTTACAACATTATCCTTATGATTTTCTTCAACCATGTGCTGACTAGAACTCTCTGTACTATCCGATTCTGCTACTGGTATCCCAGTGTTCCCAGTAGCTAGTGCTTTTAAGTCATCTAATGTAAGATCTAAGCGGTAACAGTTCTGCATCATGGATTCATAATCAGAACTGATTTCAGAGTCCCCTTTCTCAAGCTCTGAGTAAAAGCTTTCACTATCACTTGTCTCTGTTGCACTGTTAACTGCTGTAGTCTGCAAGGCTGCAATTTGGGATTTTTTCATTTTCCCTTTTCTTTCAATGTATTCTTCTTTTAAATTGCAAGTTTTCAATGAGGAGCCATTTACCAAATCACATTTTTTGTTAGTTAGTATTTCTTTCTTTTCCACCTTCACCTGTTTAGAATCTTTTAACACAGCACTCTTCCTGCTACACAGATATGGAGTTTTACTTTCAGCAATAATCTCATCTGTATCTGCTGAGTCATAACCATTGTCGCATTCCACACCCTCCTTCTCTCTGTAACTTCCTTTGGTAGCCTTCTTTATGGCATGTGGATTGCTTAAGGACCAGTGTCTATTGTATCTTAATTCAAAATTATCCCCAACAGTTTCCAAGTGGTCACTTTCAGTCTCAGTATTTTCAGCTTTCTGTGTTTCTACCTCTTTCTTTACCACTGCTCTGATTTCCTCTTCAGAATCAATGTCACTGTCAGAAACAATCATATTATTTTGAGCTGTAACTCCAGAAACGTTGCTTTTATCTGATAATAAACCTCTCCCTGATATTTTACTATTAAGACTCGTTGATGGAGGCAATTTAGACTTCTCACTGGCCTTGGATTTTGATATTTGATCTAGCTGTGGTGAACCTCTGTTTTCTGAAAGCGACTGGCATCCTGAAGACAGAACTACTGTTTCAGTCAGAGTCTCACTGCCCAGCTGCCTCTGTTTTTTAGGTGGTGCCTTAGTTACAGGGAACTGTCCTTGCCGCTTCTTGTTTATGCTGTCATCTCTCCCTTCCAAGTGCCACGTGAGCTCGGATATGGGAACTACATGTGTCAAGTCTGGCTCCAGCTTTCTGAGGTTATGGCAGTATTTTGATGGGTCATATTTCACAATGTTAGTCTGAGTTAAGGAATTGAAACAACATGATTCTTTCAGCAAGTAGATTTCCAGTCTACGAACAGGCTAAATTCTGCATGAAAGGATAGCAAAGAGTCCTTTTCAATATCATGTGCCTTCAAGCAACTGACTTGCAGTCTAAAAAAAATTATTAAAATCACACAAACTTACTCAAGATTCACTTCAAGGATTCAGTAAATCAAGTATGACACAGTAGTCAACATTAAGACCATTAAAGCAAATGTTTCCCTGCATGCCAAAAGAAAGGAATTGCACCTATGCCCAAACAACGGGAAAAGGATATTTTATTTTTTTGTTGACTCTTAAGGTGCAGGACAGGCAAAACTCTGCCAAATTTGCCAACAACCCATTTCTAAAAGAAAAAAAAATAATTAGTGTTAAACAAAATTGAATGGAAGTAACCCTGGAATAAAACAAGATTCATATTCTTTGATAACAGAAACACCAGTAAGGACCATCTGTGACGAATTTTTTTTTTTTTGTTTACTCTCTTACGCGAGATATATTCTTACTATGGAACTTGGCCAGCTTCCTTCTCAAAGAGAAAGGACAAACTAAAACCAACCAACCAATTTTATAGAACCTGCAATTTAAGAGGGGCAATAAAGAACCAAATACTTTACAAGTACTATTTTTAATATACGGCTTCTATTTTATGAATTAACATTGGTAACTCTACAGACAGGATTACTATTTTGGTGCCCTTTTCTCCTTTCCCACTAAAAAATAAAAATCCCTGCCACCATCCTCCAGAAACATTCTGTGTTTAGCAAATAATTTTGAAAACTTTATAGTAAATGTATTTTTTGTTGCCTAAATTGGCATGTTCAGCGATTTTGTTCTGTCTTACTTTTGTAAGCATGTGTAGACCCTGATCCTGCATGTGCTGAAGCACAGAGATTAGATCCTGACAACCCAGCCATCAAAAATTTGTATGCTGTATGAAAATAAGACACATATTCTCTTTACATGCTTTTAACGGTGACAAGAAAATAGTCCCAACATAAACAAGTGCCAAAGCATTTACCAATTTAAGGTGACAGAGAGGACAGTATGATCAAGGTTATTTCCATCATTACAAGAAAGGACAGGAGCATTGTACTTGTCTATACGTAAGGTATTTCTTTAGACTTACTTTTCCCAAGTTGGAATGTCACACTTCAGCAGCTTCTTTACATAAAGCATTGATATTTGACATAAATTCAGATGCAATAAGCTAGTGCCTGATTCTGGTTTTTGTTTTAATTCTCTATATACCTACCCCACCATACCTTATGGTCTGGCACCTCTGTACCTGGTACGGCTTTCATGTAAAAGTCTACAACTCCAGCCTTTTTCAGTGATTCTACCAGACACGTTTTGTCATTTCTCTGTGGCTTTTCTTTCTGCAGCTTTGCTTCCTCCCTCTCCGTGGCGAGCCTGTAAGAAAAAGTACATCATACACAAAGAAAGGTCTGCCTGTGTACTAAATTACAGCTGGCACTGACCTTCTCCCATGGAACAGTAACTCCCATGGAACAGTAATTCACTACTTAGGGAATTAACATATCTGCTACCTTTAAGTGAATAATGATACAAAACATGTTGAAGCGTCTAACAGCATCAACCAGTGTCAATAAAAACCAGAAATAAGAGCATAGCAGATGAATACACAGCCGTAATGCTATCAGATAAACAAAGAAGGGTAACTTTAGCAACAACATCTGTTTGTTTATTGATTTTTACCTGTGCAAAAAGCTTTCTTTGGCCAACTCAATTTTCAGTGTCCCCCCTTTCCATTTTGTTTTATTTAAAATTGAGATACCTGTAAAACAAGGAGACTGGAAATAAATATTTTCTACATTAAGAAAACCCCACATTAGACCTAACTATGTCTCCTTCTATGACACTCTGAAGTTTCTTTACCATCATCTCACACTTCATTACTCACTTAAGTTTGTATATGAAAGGCCTAACACCCAAATTTTGGACAAGAAGGACCACATTCAAAACTGAAGTTCAAGAGAGTCACTCGTGTCTGTATGGTTCAGCTCAAACACAAATTTGAAAATTCAGATACGTGTTTCCTGAAGTTTCTACCCTACTGTCAGATTTCACACAAAGTTAAGTGAAGAGCCTTTGAAAAACACAGTTGAGAAGAACTGAAAACCAGAGGGGAAGTGTTGTACTTGGAACTTAGGGGAGTATCAAGAGCTAGGTTAGCTTTTATTTGCCCTCAAACAGCTTTCCTACTCCTAATGGCACCAATTCCCTAGATAAAAAGGCATATTATCAATCCCTCTCTTCGGGTACAAGTACCTTCACCTGCCGTTTTGCTGCTACATATTACACGGGTGGTTTTATAACCCAGCTATTTTGGGATGTGTAAAACCGCTTTAGCAGAAGCATGCTGTCTGTAAACTCTCCTTCTGGGTTTCCTCTAATGTCAAATCAATTCTAACGTTTTACGGATCTGTTGAAAATGTTTGAAGCACATTTCCTATATCTTCTCATAAAAGGGTTAGGACAAACTCATAAATCACCTATTTCAGTCAAAAGGAATCTTTTAAATCTGCTTATAACTACTTACTGAAAAGTCCAGTAAAGCAACCGCCATAAGACTGCAGCTTAAAGAAAATGGAATGAATACGACAACAGAATTAAACAGGGTTTACCTTGACTGCATCCTGACTGGACAACATTAGACACATTATCAGTAATGCAACTTGTCTCAAAAACATAAATTACTTAAAAAATTTAAAAAATACTTACACTTTTTAAGATCTGCATCAGAAATGCTGACACTGATGTAAGCAAAAGTTTTCATGGGGTTTCCTGCTCAATGACAAACATTCAGTCAATTTCTGCATACTTTCAGTATTTCTTTTAAATCCAACAGTTAAACTACTTCCTGAAAACAAACTGTCTCTGAAGTAAAAATTCCACTTCATACTACAAATTAAAAAACAATTCACTTTTAAAGGAAGATGCAAAATTGTTACCCTCATCATCTTTCCTGGTAATAATCTCCGCATCCAAAACCTGCCCAAACTTGCCAAACCTTTCTTGCAGTTCGGCCTCAGAAACCGTATGGCCAAGCCCTCCAACGTACAAGCGCTTTGCAGCTTGTTTCTTCTCCATGTCGACAAGTCAAGCTGTCGCACCTGCGACACACACTAGTTTTCTGGAAGAAGATAACAACAGTTCACTAACACTTAGACCGCGGGGATTAACGCAACCGTAATAACACACTGCGATGTGCCCACCAGGAACAAGTCCCTGAGGCCTCCTCCACCAGGAACAAGTCCCTGAGGCCTCCTCCACCAGGAACCCTTACGCTTTACGCCAGGCAACGTGCCCCGCTCCAGCAAGCGTTGCGTCGCCCTAAGTATCCAGGGATTCGGTGCTGAGGATTCAGGTTTTTTTGAAACCCTGAACCTCATGATTGGGTGCATGACAATAAGGCTTTCAGCAATGTAACTTTTCTAAAGGTTTTCCAAGCGGGTGCGAAGCGGCCACGAATCACCCACAGCCTCACTCTCACCTCCCAGGAGAGACCAAGTGCCCCCGCCGACCCAAGAGAACACTGTAACACTGCCGCACCGCCTCCATGTGCGATCCTGGTAGCGCAGCTTCCTTTATCTTCCCCCTCGCATCCCTTCCGAGCGCTCACTCCAGCAAAAAGGGTTCCGCCTCCTGCGGCCCGTGGGCCGGGATCGTCCCTTTCCGGCACCTGTTTCCGGCCGGTCACATGTGGCGGACGCACCGGGCTTGGGCCTTGTGACCGGGGAAAGCTTGGGCGTAACCAACCAGGAGGAAAAGCAGGGGGATTTTCCGCAAGAAAGACATAAGCCAAAAAGTAAGGAA